GTTGACAACTTATGCTCAAAATCAATAGGGAGATCCTCTGGCTCTCGTTAACGGCTGGTCATCTCTTTACCAAGGTAGCCAATCAGCTCGCATTCCTCTTCAAATCTCATTAGTTTCTGTTTGTACTTCTTCCGGACGTAATCACTGCTTTTTGGGTTGTAGGCTGAAATGTAAAAGAAACCCACTGCTGTAAGCTTTTATTTGTCGGGAACTTTAATTCAATGGTGAGTTCACGCAACAGGTTTGTGAGTATTTTAGCAATAATTCCAGCTGGCTGTGTTTTATAGAACAAGTGTAGTCAACTGTCTCGTTATTAGTTAGTGCCTATCTATGTAATAAAATAGGGTGACCCACCCCCTAAGGGTACCTGAAAATTGCACGACCCACCCCTTGCACAAGGCTCAAAACCTCATGACCCACCCCCTCTCTGCTCCGGCCCACCCCCCCTATACTTTTTGACCAGTCCCTAACGAGCTACAAATCTATTATTCTGGATAGTTTTGACCAACTAGTTGGATTTACTAAAACAATTATTCCTCTTGCACTCATGGCCTCCGAGTCAATAGCCCATTCGGCCTTCGGCCTCATGGGCTATTGACTCAGAGCCCATTCGGGCTCCAGGAATAATTGTTAATTAGTCTGCGAAAGCAATCTATTTATGTTTAAAGGGCGCCAGGGGGCGGGATTACTTCCCGTATTTGGCCTAACTCCAAGGATGTGCTGCAGAACAGAGTATGGATTTTGGGATCGTAATTCTTAAACGGTGAATACAATTTCACTAGGACAAAAGAAAATATTGCCTACTCTGTATTTACATTTGGTGGACGACAACTGTATCATGCGTATTGTTTCTTGACAAAACAGAAAAAAAAACGCCAGATTCTGGCTTTTTGGCATGTGATCTGACAAATACAGGTATCATGTCTTCCGTCCCGAAGTCGAAGCGTCCACACCAACGGGACCCTTGGTTAATTATCGCTAAAATGTTAAACGTCTTTATTGAACAGGCAATGAAGTGTATGCAAGATCAGGGTTGTTTCGCTGCATTGGTTGACCGTGTAAGTCAGTCGTCAGTGCAACTCCATGAACAAGATTACTGATTGGATTACACTGTACTGTACTGTACCAGAGAGACAAACAAAAATAAAAAAATGGCCATGATGGCAGGCGACACTGTCATATACTTAACTATGAACAGTCACTGCGTAGGGTAAATGGGTGAGGGTAAGAATTCTGTTGGAAAGAGATCGTCGGTTTAAAACTTAGGTGTGACAAAAAACAAACAAACCAACAACATACATCAATAGAAAAAATGGCACTACCGCCTTTTATTTGCTCATACCTATAACCTGTCCGAAAGAACTCGAAGTTGTCTCGAGAGTTTCGAGTTGTTTTCCGGATAACTTTGTAAAAATACTCCTATAGCATTCGAAATAGGAGAGTCGGGTTTAAAGGCAGTTAGCTAAAAAGAAGATATGCTCCAAAAACTAAACAAAACGGAAAATATTGCATTTGAGGTCGAACAAATTTATTTACAATTATCATTTTCTTGCAGATTATTTACATATCTATTATACAACATCATTGATTGCCGACATGTTACTGCCGTTATAGAATTAAAAAGTATGCACAGTGTTATCTCCCTTTATTAAAAATAAATAATCTGTAATCTAGGTCACGCAAAACGGTCACGCTCTGATAGTGAAGTGTCACGCACACCACGTGGTTGTGGGCTCTATGTCTTTGAGTGCCAGAAATGTTGACAACTTATGCTCAAAATCAATACGGAGATCCTCTGGCTCTCGATAACGACTGGTCATCTCTTTACCAAGGTAGCCAATCAGCTCGCATTCCTCTTCAAATCTCATTAGTTTCTGTTTGTACTTCTTCCGGACGTAATCACTGCTCTTTGGGTTGTAGGCTGAAATGTAAAAGAAACCCACTGCTGTAAGCTTTTATTTGTCGGGAACTTTAATTCAATGGTGAGTTCACGCAACAGGACGACAGAAAGAAGTGGACGGAGAAACGCTTGAGTGTGACAAACGTGACCGAGCTATTACTTGCATGTTTTGTCGTCATCTTTACTTAACATGAATGTTTCTGGTGTTTTGAAAACAATCTGTTAAAAGGAGGGTGAAGTTTGGTGGAAAGTTTTTTCAAACGCAATTCTTTAACGGTTTTCCCATAAGGTTTGCCGTCTTCTTGCCTCTCCCGTCCTGCTGCGTAAATTCCCTAATTGCAGACAGCAGACGCATGCCCTTTTAATTTATTGCTAAAGCTAGTAATAACCAAACTTAAGGGAGTTTGTGCGAGATCGATCGAAGGTTCAAACGCTCTAGGCTCAACGCTGTGTTTTGCGTAAGTTTAACGTGATGGAAGATCAAAACGTTCATGATCAAATACAAGTGACAAAAGTTTTCAACGCGCATGGTCAGATTGCGTTCTATGCATTACGTTCATTCTTCGATGAAATACAAATACAAACGAATCCTGGCTATATACGCGCCGCGCACGCGTAATAGCAACCTGGAGATTAGGTTTGCAGGCTCCTCTGGTCTCCCGCAATAAGGGGGTGGAATGAGTCCCGTAAACATGGCCATCAGAGACGCTTACTGATATGAAAGGATGCCTAAATAAAAGATTGTGCAAGGAACAGCATATACAAGAATCCAGTCAAGGGTTGTTTGCCGATTTCGTCATGCACACTTATTCGCTCTTAAGCAAATTACCGGTTTCTGAAGCAATATGATTGGACAAATTCTTAAAAGACAATGTGTTTTCGGCAGTTTATCACTTACCCTTAAGATGATAGGCTATGTAGAGAAGAGCTGACTTCCACAAACGGATATTTGGGTTTAAAACATCCCACTGCAGTTAACGCTTTGGTCAGTGCTGTAGCGACACTCTGCTCCATGTAACCTAACATGGGCAGTCTACTGACAAGCATAGGTTCTTTTCTGGGGGGTAATTTGTGTGGGAGTGTTCGACTATAATACTTCTCTGGTAATCTGCAAAGGATGTGTAAACAATATTGCCTAGTCCCTAGGCCTCATTATTATGCGCGGCCGATGCGTTTCGGGTCACGTGGTCCGAGAAAGTTTTTGAGGCCTAGACAAACTCGGAGAAGTGAGACATTTTGTCTCCCTTGGGACGGAGCCGTTGGAAGCGGGCGAGCTGTCAATAACTTTTCCGTGCTGATGAAAGATGTCCAGCAGCCATGGAGAGTACAGAAAAACGAACCTTTTTATTCTATGCACGTTTTTATTGTTGAAAGTCGTTTGGCCTTTCTTTGTCATTTATCTCATTAAACTAATCTGAACTTTATTTCATCTCAAAAACTATTTGTAGGCTAACTAAAACAGCGTCGCAAAAAAATTATTTGATCAAGAATCGGAAGGTAAGCTAAAGAAATAAGTTTATATTTATTCTTGGATATGACAAGCTATCTTTCGTTTCTCTATTTTCGCTTGCTCCTATAAATTTCTCGTTTTAACTTCGAAATACTTTATGTAATATAATTTTTGGATTTGGAAGCTTGTCAAAGTAATCGGACAGGCTGTTGAATTTGGTCTCTAAATTTGGTAAAATGTCAACTAACTACTGTTTCAAATCTTTTTATCAATAAAGACTATCATTTTAATGGGTTTTAATGGTTCATTTGAAGATGGACTAAAAGAGAAATTACTTGCACGTTATACAGTAGTTTTCTTTCCGATTCAAAGTAATATTTTTGTTCTTTTCTAACACGAACTAGGTTAGTTATTTTTGTAATAGTGTCAATAGTGCCGATCTTTAGCGAAGGATACTCACGCGCAAAGTTATTTATAGATTATTTCAGTTGACCGTGTGAACTTTTCAAAAATGCTCACAAATGAGCACTCCGAGATTGTCTAGGCGTCTCTCGGCCGTTCGTCTCGGATACGTCACCGAAATGCATTGACCGAGAGGGCCTGAAAAGACGCCGTACAGGGACTAGGCAATAAACAATAGAGAGGTTAACGCATTTTAAGCATTGTGTTTAATCAAGTTACACTAGGAACAACAAAATGGAGGTTGTAGTTTGGGGATATCTATTGCCAGGCAATTTCAATCTCGTTAAAGCTCTTAGCTTCATGTATTGATTTCAGTAGAAGATCCAAATATACGAACAGATTTCACACTTCACTTGCGTCGGGAAAGGCAAACGTGAAAAGTGGCGGGAAAATCGTTATCGCCTAACAGCCTTTGCTGATCATGTTCGCTCATTCACCATACATACGTATGTATCACTTGACTTGTGGCTGCTTTGAGCGCACAATTTTAAGTTACCTCATAAATTTCTGCAGTTTGCTTTATATCAGTTATTTCCATAAGCAACCCAAATATTGTTACAAAGCGATTATTATCCTCTAATCTAGCACAATCAGCATATTCATAACTCACGTTTAACAGATCATATATTTTGTTTGGTTCACTTTTTAGAAACTTAGCTCTCATCATTTTATATAATCAATATATAAAATGAAGGAATCATATTCTATTGTAGATAAAAGAGTAACTCCTTGCACAGAGCCAAGTGGTTACCAGCAGGATGAAAGAGAGCGAACTCAATTCTTTTGTAAATGCGCAGTATGTGGAACCAAAAAAGTTAGATATGTGAAAGTGGGGGGAGTGCCTCAAACTGGAAGTGGAAATAAGACAGAAAGAAAAACAAAAAAACGATCTTCAAAAAACTAGAAGGGGCGGGAAAACAAACAGGTGGTGATGTTTTTGATACTGTAGTTGGCACAGCCACAGAAGCTTTTGTTGAACATGGTCTGCCTTAGTTGGGTCGCAAAGCAGTTGAGATTGGTCGTTATGGTGCAAGTGAAGCACTCAGAAATAAAAAACTACAGCGTAAAGCTGTTAATTATGGGATGAGTAAACTAACTCCATTTATTCAAGATTCTGTTGGATCAGCAATGGAACAGCTATCAACTAAAGTAAAACCAAAAAAGAAATACAAAACTGATAGGAAGGATTTGGACGGGAGATCAGGAAAAGGAATCACCCCAATGGATGTGGTCAAAAAAGCGCCAGATATTGCAATGAAATCAACGCAAGAACTTTTTCCATCTCTAAAACCAGTTTATGATAGGCATAAATCTGGGGATATTTTCAGGAATTACTTCTAGTAAGTTTTGGAGGCGGCCGACAGCTGAAGAAGAGAAATTAAAAGGAATAATACGCAAAGGAAGTAATCCTGAGCTGTTCTTTGCGTTTAACAAAGATGGTAAGAAATTTAGGCAATATAAAACAAAATTCTTTGAAAAAAACCCAGAAGCTTTAACAGATATGAACAACATTATTTCATCTAATCCAGATTCATGGCCAGAGGTTATAAGAAACAAATACGGAATTAACATTGATGAACACTTCTGGGAAAACAATCCATTACTAGAAACTCAAGGAAGTGGAATCATGGCTCCAGTTATTTATGGACGGGTACGTGGTAAGTCTGGACGTGCAATAGATATCCACAAACAAATACTAAAAGTAGCTCCACGTAAAAGCTTCGTACTGCCTGGGCATAATTATACTAGACCTGGTAAGCCACTCGAATCTCAATTGAAATACGATCCTGAAACTGGTGAGATACTAGAAATATATGAGCAACCAACTGGACGAACAGATGCTGTCAGTATGCAACACGATGTTGATTACTGTCTGTGGTAACAAACCACCCAGCGAACAAGTGCAATGTAAGAATGAAGCTGATAGAAAAATGATAAAATCATTAGATGCAATTCCTTGGAAAGAAAGACAATGGGGACATGCTATGGCAAGAGCAATGATTAATACAAAACAAAAACTTGGACTTGGTCTTCAAAAAAACGCGCGTCGGCGTTGAGTAGTGATTGGTCTCAACAATTAGCCGACGAACTTTACAAACCAATCACAAAAAACTTTTTAAAGAGATCAGTAATCTCAAACGGGATTGATGAAATCTGGGCTGCTGATTTGGTAGAAATGCAAAAGTTTAGCAAGTGGAACAAAGGTATTAAATATCTGCTGATGGTTATAGACGTATTTAGCAAGTATGGCTGAATTAAACCTCTAAAGAATAAAAAGACAGAAACTGTTAGTAAGGCATTTGATGAAATATAAAGGTTCTGAGTTTATCAGTAGACATTTCAAAGACTTTTTGAAAAGAGCAGGGATCAGGTTATATCACACTGAAAAAGAAGAGAAATCGAGTGTTGTTGAGAGATGGAATAAAACAATGAAAAACAGAACGTGGAAGATGTTTACCGTGAATAACAACACTGTTTACTGGGATAAGATAGATAAACTAGTTAATGATTACAATAATGCGAGACATTCTAGCATAAAAATGACTCCTGTTGAAGCAAGTAAAAAGGCAAATGAGAGTAAAGTTTGGTCTAGTTTATACGGCGATTTGATCTACTTAAAACCTGGTAAACCAAAGTTTGCGATTGGCGACAAAGTTAGAATTTCAAAGTATAAGAGGCAAGTATTTGATAAAGGCTACACACCAAACTGGAATGAGGAGATATTTGTGATTAATAAAATCTTGCCAACAAAACCTGTTACGTATAGCATCGTTGATTTGAAGGGAGAATCAATTAAGGGCTCTTTCTACGAGCAAGAATTACAGAGAGCAAAGCAGCAGACATTTAGAATAGAAAAAGTTATCAGACGAGATAACAAGAAAAAGTTGTCATTAGTAAAATGGAGTGGTTATCCTGATAAATTTAACTCACAGGTGAGTTCAAAGGATTTGGTTGATTTTTAATACAAAATTTTGTACTAAAAATAAATCCATCTGGAAACCTACCCCTTAGTGAAAAAGGTTACTACAATTAGTTAAAAAAATATAAACTTTTTTTTATTTTTAAAAATGTTTAAATACTTTTCTATTTTCTGTAGTATCCTTTTTCTCATTCTTCCTCTTCTTTATCAGAAATAATTAGATCTTCAATATTATCATCCTCGCTTTGCTCAACGGTCTCAGTGTTGCCTCCGTACCGTAATTTTTAGGGAGTTATTATAACTCCAAAAATGGAGTAAAAACTTTAGGTACAGGATAACCCCTTTTTTGGGGTTATTTTAACTCCTAATTTAACTCCGAATTTGGGGTCATTTTTACTCCTGAAAAAGAGTTCTTTTTACTCCCAGTCTGAAGTTAAAATTACTCCGAAATGGGGTTACTTGTACTCCTTACATGGGTTGTCTTTACTCTTTTTGGAGTTAATTTAACTCTGAAAGTGGAGTAAAAATTTTAGGTACAGGATAACTCCTTTTTGGGGGTTATTTTAACTCCTCAATATCTGGGGTCACTTTTACTCCTGAAAAAGAGTTCTTTAAAGTCCTTTTTGGAGTTAAAGTAACTCCACGAAAAATAACTCCACTGTAAGGAGTTAAATTAGCCCCAATAGAGGAGTTATTATAACTCCCTGAAAATTACAGTGCGTTGTCACTTTCATCATTATTCTCATTATCATTTTCTTTAATTGTTAGTAAAGACTGCCTAGGTTTCAATGGTTTAACATAACACTCATGTACCTTTATCTGCAAAGATGTAACAGTTTTACTGATAAAGATTCCTTCAATAATCAAAGCCATTTTTACATTGCAGTACTGTTTAAGATAATCTAAAGGTTTAACCCTCTTTTTACCCTTTATCGAAAATAAAGAAAGAATTTTCTTTGATTTTTCAGAATAAATACGTTTGGCGTAGAGAACTGGCGCAGCTGAGGGGTCTCTCTTAGTTTTCTTTTTACCCTTTTTTGTCAAGATATTCAACCTGTTGTAATATAATAATGAAGACAGAGATGATGCTAAATCTGCGCCGTATTCATTCTCTAGATGTTGCTGGCAAATAGTTGTTATATTGTTTATAGCTTCAAAAAATGATTGCTCTTTATGATTTGGTTCACTATCTTTAGCCCAGAGACATATCGGGATGCTATAACCGACTAACTTACCTGTTTCTTGGTTTCTCTTCTCATTCACACCAAAAGAGAAAAGAAATGGAGTTTCGATTACTAGATCACCTTTCTTACCATCTGGGTAAACTGTTTCAATTTTGATTCGTTTGTATTTAAGTTTCGAATCCTTTACTTGGCACTCTTTTGCGGTCTTTGAAGATAATTTTGTCTGGTGATAGAGTGTCAATACTTGTGAGTTGCATATTTTATAACAGTTTAGATATCTTTAAACTGGTTTTTTAAATTTTAATTTGTGGGAAATCCCCCCATTCATACAACTCATCAAAAATTTAGCAAATGGGGATTTCCCTGATTTCTGATTTAATTACATGTTAGTAGTTATAGGAGGATGATTTCTGACGCAACTTTAACTCCATCATTTTTCTGATTAAAATTTCCCTTGCGAGATAAACCGAATGAGGGAAATGAACGGAATGAACTGAACAGAGCGAGCGGAGCGAGCGGAGTGAAGTGAATGGGGTGAATGGAGTGAAATGAGGTTATCGAGAAAGCGGAAATTTTAATCAGAAAAATGATGGAGTTCAAGTTGCGTCAGAAAGCATCCTCCTATAACTACTCAAGAAGCGACAAAGAAAACTTTCTCATTCACGGTGAGTTGACAGAAACAAATAAAGGTCTACTTTTCTTCTCAGAATTGGGTGGTAATTTAAATTTTCGGCATTTTTCTTTTAAACCGTTGATGCTAAAGCTTACAAAACTCGATACAAAAAGATTAAAACTATCATTGGCCATGTTTGAAGATACTGTAAAGAGCCAACTTTTGCGCATCCACTGTTTACGGCTTCGTGTTCACGCATGAATGCACCCGTCAATCAAACTAATCGTTTTTTAATGGTTTCCTTTCCGATTCTGTTGAGATCACTTCGTGTGAATATACTAAAACAATTATTCACCTCAGGCTCAGTTAATATTGCTGAATAATCCCCGAGACGAATTCAACAATATTAACTTCGCCTTCGGCGAATAATTGTTAATTGGAAAAAATAAACTTTCGGAAAGGATATATACCCTACGTGGCAATTGTCCGTCGAGACGAAAAGAAGTGATCGTTGTACTAGAGAGATGGCCTATGGCAGAGGTTCGATGGTGTCAGTTCATTATCATCTAACGGTATTGTGTAAACGATCTGATGAAACTGAGTATGAGGTAGTTGTTGTTTTCATAAGAACGAATAAACAGCACTTCTTTATTCAGATTCAATTGTAATCCATCTTTCAATACATTGCGCTGATTATCATATTATCTCAATTAATATAGGGAGGTGTACATTAAGTCTACGATAGTCTAGCCAGCTACTTTATATCTTAAGACTAGACTCATACAAAATTCAAATTTAGTGAAAAAATACTAATAACGCTTCCCCAGCGAAGAGTGATGAGATTATTGACGCTATGCGCACAGTACGAGGGCATAAGGATGCATGTTGGTATCTGACATGCTGCTGCTGGCAAATCTTATTCCTCTTCCAATTTCCAGCTCGTTAGTTGCGCGAATAAGCACCCCATAATTTGGGACACCACTTCTCCATTGCCGTACTGCACGTGTGATGTCAAACTCCACATAGCCTCGAGGACGGAAGGGAAAGATTGTGACCGTCTCTGCCTGTGGTTGGGCCTCTGCATCGGTGTTATCCAGACCCAGGTAAGAACTGGACCACCTATAAGTGCTGTCTCTCTTCGTGGAAGTGGCTTGAGCTGCGTTCCAAGATTTCTTTACCAGGTGCACCTAAAACCCATAATAGACCTTTTTACTGATACGGCGGCCATGTTGTATCAATTAGATTTAAGGAGTATTATGGGATGCCCAGGGGGAACTCGCTCAATATTTACGCGCGCTTTTCGGGCCAATTTTTCCTAGTTTTCCAATATTTTCCAAGTTTTCCTAGAAAAAGATCGTCATGGGAAAAAAAGGTCGTTGTGCCGTGTTTGGATGTAATAATAATTGCCTTTTCCCCGAGAAATATACAGTGAAGTTCTCTTTTTGCCCGAAAAGCGCGCGTAAATACTGAGCGAGTGTCCCCTATTCATCCCATAATACTCCTTAAATCTAGTAAATTCAATATGGCCGCCGTATCGGTAAAAAGGTCTATTTAAGAAATGGTAAACGTGCAGCGTGCAACCATTGAGTTATGGATGCACGCGGGAGGTTGCTAAGCACGAAAGAAGCGTAAGAGTCGCCCGAGGCGATAGCTGAGTACGACTCTAGCTTCTTGAGTGCTTAGCAAACCTCCCAAGTGTATCCATAACTCCATGGTTGCACAGCTACAACGTTTACCATTTCTTTTATAACATAATCAAAAGAGAAAAACATTGTTTTCCATTTGCCTTCGGTTGAGTCATCGGTCCGAGTTCATGTATGCTGCCATCTGCCCGCCCCTTTGAGTTTTTCTTTCGCTGAATCAACCGTTCTCCGTCTCCAGGTAAATTGCAAAACGTTTTTCGTTGTTATTCTGAATGGCATCTGTCTACTTGCTCTTAACATTAGGGTAAAAACTTTAAGGGAAAACTATAGCTGCAACTATAAACACCAACTAAAAAATAAGCTAAAACTAAATAAATGAAATAATTATCAGGCTTATTTATGTGACAATTTTTGAAATAAACGTAAAGTAGAAATGAGAAAATTTGACTGTAATTCCTTTAGAATAACAGGTAACACTAATTTTAAAAAGAAATTAACTGGCTTTGTATCAACATCTCTCTGGGGAAATCCAGCTATGAAAGTCAACGTTGCAACTGAAATTCACCAACACACAGCCGGCGCTGAAGCTGTTGTTTTTCGACCGTTCTCTGAACGACTGTTATGAATGAACACTGAGGAACAAATAATACACACAGAAGTTATTTTTTGAAAAATTTATTTGAAAAGCCAAATGTTTCTGTACTCAAATGAAATTCGCTTATTCCAGCGTAATGTGCCCGTTTAAACTCAACTAAAATTTTTAATCGATGCGGTGAAAACTTCACAACAAAGCTATCTCGAATTTGAGTGTGTTTCCTAAAATATTTCCTTGAATTCAACATCAGCTTGACCTGAACAGATCAATAACACAATGCTAACTGATAAATTTACATTTCAAACAGACTTTCTCTTCTATAAAAAACACACAAAATGTACCTTAAATCTTCGCTCGATCGATTTTCCTTCAGCCGATTCTAGCCGCGAGGAAAACAGTGATTAATTCATACAGGGCAAATTTGTTGCTTGATCGTTTGTCTTTTTTCCTTCAAAACGACAGCTTAGTATTTTCTTCAACTTCCACTTTTCATCTGTGCATTTCATCGGTGTATTTTACCGTCAGGAGAGGAGATTTGTTGAATTTGCCTAAATTTTACCGCGCTAGCTCAGTTTCTTGGCGTGCACCCACGGGCAAAGGGTAGTGGCTAACTGACCAATCAGAGCGCACGATTTACTTTTGTTATGTTATAATGGATTATGTTCATTATTTATAACAAATATTAAAATGATCTTATTATCAGTTGTATCTCTCAGCTGCAAACACACCTAAGTTGTGAGTGTAACCAAAGGTTAGCGAATTTCGGCTCGCAAAGGGCGTGGCTGGGAGAGAAGATTTCCTATGCAACATTTGGATCTACCCTTTATTGATAAAAGATAGCGATAAATTATTGAAACAAGCTAGAAAATCTAAAGCAAACAAGCAATTGAAGAAATAACATATTTGTTCTGACTTCTGTGCGTTTATTCCCTTTGATGCGATTAAAAACGAACAAAAAACCAAAAAGCACAAGATGAATCGAAACTGACTTTTGAGGACTGCCGTTATGGTATAACTTTGACATTGTTTGTCTTGACTATTGTCCCAGTCGCTAAGCTAGTTTCCGCTAAGTGCCTGGAAGCGCTGTTTTAAAGGTAAGGACACACTACTATGGGTCTACTATTGACTACATATAGGAATAGAACAGCTTTTAGCAAAATAGACTAAAACAACTTTAAAAGCACAACGTTTTTTTGATGATTTAATGTGACTTGAGGAGAAAATCATTTGTTTTGTCCAAGCTGAAATCAATTAGTATTGATATGTAGTTTCGTGAACAGCGCTTCCAGATTGGATTTGTACCGCAACTAGATCTATTTTATATATATGCACCGGGATTAAGACGAAGTAAACTAAAAGGACCAAGATATCTAATAGACTTATTGCAGCACCTGCATAAAGCGGGGGATAAAAGGAGTTCCCTGGATGGTATGCCAGCTCGGTTTGTGAGCATACACGTAGTATAGGTACATCTTAGCGGATATGATCTGTAATGGGCCGCAGGCACTGGAGAGGTTTTCAAACTGAACCAGCGAACGCTTGTTAGGAAATTGAGGGTGCTTGGACACCAGGAGGTACTGAAGGTAGTCGAGTTGTTGTGTGCTACCTTCCAAGGTGGTATCTTGGGTTACTCCAAGTCTGTACACCATACCTCGGCCAGTGTTGTACGTCCGATAAGCTTCCGTCTCCTTGGCAACTATCGCCAGCATTATCACGGCTACCACACCAAACATCTTCCCTGTTAAAATTTGAAGTTTCGCGTTAACCCGCTTTGAAATTTCAGAAGGACGCCCAGCGAAGTACTGTTTTCTGCAAAATATCTGTTCGGAAAAGCAAATATTGCCTGGAATTTTCTACTACTTGAGAAAGGCTAAAAATTTCTAGTGACCGCGTTCCATTTATGAACAATTTTTGAAGCTTATCTAATAAATTTCCTTACGATTTTCTGAAGTTTGATTTTTCACATTTCACTCCCCAGGATTGACTTTTTTCCCAGAAAAAAGAAAACCTAAAATTATCGGATTCAAAAATGATCAAAACTGTGATAGAGAGGGGAATCATAAAAATTCTCACTTTTATAACACGTTACTGATTTCACCCAAAATTTTCGGGAAAATAACACTGAAGCCCTTGTAATTTCGAATAGACTCAAGTTGCCCTAGGATGCCCGAACTGATACGAAATTTATAGCGCCGCTTAGAACGGCTTGGAAACTAAAATTTCGAGGACGTTTTTGGACTTTTTACATTTAGGGCATGAATTTTTCGTCATTTCAGGCCATGGAACCTAAAAATGAGCCTAGCTAGCTGTAACAAGGGGCAATACGGAGGCAATACGTCCTAGCCGGCATGATCACATGCTGTTTACGGAAAATTCCCTCATCCATGTCAGGAAATTCTGTACCGTAAAGCCTCCCCTAGGGCATGACTCAGCAATTGAGGACATTTCTGCTACGATTTCAATGTTGGTTAGCATGCAAGGATTTTTCCCATGCCTATCGTCAATGATTGGCTCACTGGTAATAGAGGGGGTGCCCCCAGAGTGGTTTTGCATTGAAATTGGCATGCAACAGAATTTCGCATGCCCTGTAAGCATAATTTGAGGTTCTGTGACCTTCTCACCCAGGCCGCGAGAAGCCTAGGTTCTAGTAATAAGTAATTCATACCCAGCAAAATCTCCGGCATGCCGGTCATGCCAAATTTTTTGACATGCCCGGCATGCTAAATTCTCTGGAATGCCGGGCGTGCCATAATCTGGGTCATGCCGGGCATGCCAAAATCGGTCTCTGGCACGCTCTCAACGCACAGGTTATAATTCCTTGAATCTACAGATATTTTAAGCGAAGTGAACGAGTTGACAACCACTTATGCCGGAGTTCTTAGGCATGCTCAACAGCAAGATAAACTGAATGCCAAAAGGCTAATTCACGGGATTTGTTCGATATTCAGGCTTTTTCTTTACCAATTTAATACTAAATTTGTACTTACAGTCTCTCGCAGAATCCATTTCTTGTCCAGCATTCACCAACATCTCAACCATGCACCGCAGAAAAAAAAGACAAACAAGTGCGAAGAGACATGACGACATCGTGACGCCACAACTGCCACGCTACAACACGCTACAACAAACTAGATTCCTCGTCATCCGAAAACACTTCTGCGGAAATTCGGCCGATTTCGTGCATGCTCGGGGTATCTTCGGATGACGCTGATGACGTTGCTCAAAGGACTATCGTCAGCAAGGAGTAAAACAGTTTGCGAGATTCGCATAGCCGACAAGGAGCGCACTGAAAAACTAAGCAAAATCTCTCTGAGAAGGCAGTCCAAATTCACCAAATCAGAACGCCTTTGCAGTATTAACGTCGTACTCTCGTACTGACTTGAACGACCTGGTAAGCTTCATTTTCACCAGTCTTTTAACGCTGTTGACCGGGAAACATTCCGACGCGATAAAACTTAAGCATGGATAAGTTTATACTGAGAAGATTTGTTATCTTATTGTTTAAGACGATTTTCCGCGATCAAATTTAAATCTGGACCCAGAAATGTCAGTATCGGTTTGAAATAAAAGGATTAATCTTTGATTGCAAGTTAAGTATTCTATTTTATGCATGAATAATGTCGTTTTGTTGTGCTTTTTATTTATAAATCCAGGCTTCTGTCTTCAGTTTTGCCAGTCGATCTCGTGACACACGTGACAAACATGACTTTTTTTGTTATAATCTGCATTTATTGCCAGGCATGAAAACTGTAACTTCAAGCTCCTTAAGATATATTTGGCGATTATATGTGATTCGCAGGATATGATGCTGAAGCGAAAATCAAAATCAGTCTCGTTGGGCATGCCAATTTCTTGCCTGACATGTCGGGCATGCCAAACCAAGTGGCTTCACCATCGGCATGCCCGGCATGCCAAACCAGAGGAGCAAAAACTGGGAATGAATTATCAACCCGGCGAGAGATCTGGGACCTAAGTTTAGCTGGGTCAATTTTGGGCTGCGAGGGCATGAACCCATTTTTTCCATGCCTGTGAAATGTTATTTCTAAGTACCAATGTTCCCTTGAATTTTGTCATGCCTAAATGTATAAAATTTTCCCTCTCTCATTAATCCTCAGACTGGATGCGATTTTTACGCTCGCTAGGCATGTTCAACTGAAAATCATGCCCATACCCTTATTCAAAACAAAATGCTATCAAATTTTAGTTTCCAAGCCGTTTTAGAATTCATTTCTGAAGATTTAAAAGTACTCTGGACAGACTAAAAAGTGTTTTCAATGATGTATTTAGGTGGCAAGCGTCGTTGGGTACCCCTGACTGAAGGTCAACACGTTATTCGGTTTTGCATGTAACAAAAGTCATAAGTTGGCCCTTTCGAAGTATTGGTTTACTGTAGCTAGTGTTAATTTGAATTCGGTGCACTATTGGACTGTCTTGGAGAAAGATATCGCTTCTTTTTTAGTCATTCACTACTTTCACATTAACCATAATGCACCTTGTTTACCCACCAAATTTTTGCATAAGTATTGTTTTCAAGTTCTCTCAAAGAAATTAAGGCATGGGTGTTTTTTCAATTTCCCTCAAAAAGTCAAGGGGTGGTCTATATTTTGAGGATTAAGGCCTATAGCGACAAAACGTGAGTAAAATAATGACTCTCAAAAGTCTATGCGATTCCAAATAAAGGAGTGTGTAAATTAGGTCACGTGACCTTTAACGGCCATTTTGCGCGAAAAAAACTTTAATTAGAAATGGCACCATTTTAAAATAGTAGTCAATCAAAGAAATTGTAACCAAACATGTCCCTAGATGAATGACTAGACATCTGTGCCCGGGCTTTGTTGAATAATTTATTGAAAGTGTAAATAAATGTATTTGTGTACTAGTACCCAGTCCCCTTATCAACCGATTTTCGAATTTCGTTCCTGTCTAAAAGATTAACTTAAAAGGCCCCGGACACAGAAATGATGTACCCACTAGTCTCATAACTATGACGATAACTGCAACTTGGTGTCATATTGCCAAATACATTTTTGTGCTTAAAATAGCCTTAATAGGTCACGTGACAATTAACGTCTCCAATCATCATTCAAAGTTATTAAACTTATACGCAGGAAGTCTGCCCTTAAGTTATTTTATGCTAAACTGAAAGCTTAAGAAGTTAAGACCACCCCCTCAGTTTTTGAGGAATTAAAAAGAAGACCCATGCCCAGGAGCCGATTACTAATCCATGCCTTAATTTTCTTGAGCTCTTCGGAGGATTGTAAATCCCATGAGAAATTGGAAAGAATGCATATTCAAAACTCTTGGGGGATAAACAAGGTGTATTATGGGAATGTGAAAGTAGCGAGTTACCGACTGGGGTGAAAATTTGTCCCCCAAAACGGTCCCGCAGTGCAATTCGACACTTCGGTTGGAAATTAAATGGAACACGACTTTTTTGAACGTTTCAACGGAAAATTCCCGGGAGCAACGGAACATCTGAAAAGGTAGTGCTGTTTTTCTGGACGGAGTGTTCCAAATGTAAATTTGCTCTTGATTCCATTTCTTCCAGGCATTTCTTCAAACCATCTTTGATACCATTTTCAAGTCTTCGCAGCAGTTTTTCGGTAACTGGAACTGATTGTACAAATAGTAAAGGCGACAAAAGTTCCGGGACGAAATTTAAAAGTTCTGAATTCTGCTTACTAACGAAGCGGCTTAATAAACCGTGAACCACACGGGGTTTGCCCAGGTAAATGCCAAACAACCCAAAAACAGAAAAAGATAGCTGTACATGTGTAACCCGAAAAAATCCAACGTGAAAACATGCTTATGGTGCTCTAAACACAAACTAATTAAACGCTCTTTTAAAAATGCTGTAACCCAATAAGAAAGAGAGATGACTAGAAATAGTGACATACCAAATCTGCTCTTGGCTAGCTTCAAAGCCGACCTTGATGCGGTGAGATCTGGACTGCAAATGAGCAAAACTAGTTTGTTATTGCCAGTATACTTGTTCAGTGATGACATATCCTGTGACTTGTTAGGGTACATTTTTGCTCAGTCTGCTTCACTGTATGCGCTTCTCTTCGTAATCATTAATATTTATTCAGTTTATTCTATTTATTTTGGTGTTGGGCATTTTAACTTTATTCAGGGATATATATTATAAAAATAAATTTGTTTTTAGGTGGGTTCAGAAATCAAAAGTTCCACCATATCTCAAATATCTTTTGTTAAGGGACAAAGGATGGTGTTTACAAGCTGTCAGAACAGCTCGACACACTTTAGATTTTACTAGTAAACCTTTGCTGGTCAGTTAAGGCCTTGGCTAAAAGATTTTTTGCACCGACCTCTTTGGTGTTGGGATCAATCAAAGACAGTCTTAATTCATCTTTTTCTTCGTACTGCTTTAAATTTGATGCCAGTTCGATGTAACATATCCTTCTCATGATACTATAACTTTCATCGAGCGTGGCAAGTGGTACGCCTCATATAGATACAACATCGAAGTAGTGATTCTCGCGGAAGTGATAAAAAGCTTTCAAAACTTAAAATTAAGCACTCGATCGTTTGCCACATCAGAGAGATTCGTCCATATGACCGGCGCGGACATGCTCTGTGTTGCCGAGTGTGTGTTCACTTCTCAAGAGTCTTTCACACGTTATGTCCCATAGTTTCGAAAAAGAGGTTCTCGAATGACTTTTAGACAATGCTTAAAAGCCTTTATTTGGGTTTTTAAAACGATAATTAAAGA